TATATAGATATAGATATAGATATAGATATATGCGCTCCACCGGTGGCTTGTTGGATGACAACTTCTGTGTAAGTCACCTATCCCTGGTTTGAATCCATCGCGATCGAATTAGCACATATGGGCTGGACATGCACATCTATATATATATATATATAGTTATATATAGTTATATATATCCATGCACATATGTGTACATCAATAAATTATAAATATTATATTCCTATATTATATCTGTTTGGATATATTTAAATATATTTCGCTTAAAAATATTCTTTATAACCCATATACGACTTTTAAATAGATTTTATATTCTTATGTAGATCGATCGTTGAAATCGAGCTTAATTGCTTGTTTTCTACATTTTAATCGAACTATGACTTACTTCTCCAGTTGGATGGCAATATATTTATTTATTTGTGTTAAAATTTAAAAAAATATAAAAAAATTAGTTTTCTTTAGTTTTAATATTTGCATAAATATTTTTTTATAGATTTAATTAATTATTGCATATAAAATGTACTAAAAATACATGCATCCAAATAACGTAAATAATAAAAAAAATACTAGAAATATGTAATAAGATTTATAATTACAGTCAAATGAAATTTTGCTTCTCGTTCAAATCCGCATGAAATATTTTCTGGAGATTGAGATTGGTTGCGAATGTACGTGGATTAGAGGGTTGTGAAATTCAACCCTAATAAATTTACAGCAAGGAAAAAGAAGAAACAGTGGAAGAAAATAATCAGAGATGGATCGATCGATCACCTGTATGCCATTGGGAGAGTTTTCAGAGCTAAGGACCCGAAGGTACGACTCCGTTTCTTCAATCCGATCGGGCACAAAGATCCGAACAGCGGCGATCCGCGGCGCATCGTTGAGCAGGAAGAACTTGTACGAATCCTCGTCGAGCGGGCTGTTAAGAAATAGATCGGCATTCGGATACTCATTCAGCAAGTTCTTGACGATCGACGGTCCCGTCAGCTCGAACCGCCGCGCTCCACCCACCAAACAGATCGCCAGCCTCGACGGCTCATCCGCATTCTCCGGCGGCATCGGAAGCTCCGATTGAAGAAATAGGTCGGCGGAGGAGATTGATCGGAGGGATTTGATGGGGGATAAGACGAGGAAAGAATCTATGCCGGCGCGGTGGTAAGCTATGAGGGAGACGAAAAGGAGGAGGAGGCTGGCGAATGAGAGGAGGAGGATTCGGAATGCATGGAGATTCGTGTTCCGGCGGCCGGCGACGGTGG